ATAGGAAGATCTTGCATCGCGTCTCCTTCGATGAACGCTGTATTCAAACTACTCTGGGCGTCGAAACAATAGAATAACATCACGTAGTATGAATAAAATATAATGAAACAAGATGAATCCAGTCGCGATATAAATACTCACTTGAATGCTGCTCGGTGCTGTAGTGTAGCGTGTGGAATAAACTTGGCTCGTGTATCTGAAGTTCGCTGCCGAGGTAGATACTCCTGCGATGCTGTATAAAGCTGGTCAAGAGTGTGTTCTGGTACTAGCTGATGTCTGCTAACGGAATGAGGAGTCGGTGTGTGCACCTCCACTCACACACCCACCAATTCTTAGCCACATCCATTTCCACCCTTACCGCCACCACTAGACCTCTCCCTGTCGCCTTCCCCACTCCTACTCTCCCTCCTCCGAATGCAAATATCCAACCCGGAATGATTGCAGTGGGGAATATCAATAAGGATTGGTTGGTGTAGAAAAAAAAAACGATTCAATGAAATAATAATGTCCATTCATTATGTATATAAAAAAACGGGTTATCATAGCAGTATCAAAATTGATATAAACAACTCAACTAAAATCATAGCAAGAATATGTACCTGTTATGTATTGATCCAACTTCTCTCACCAATCTCATGTTAGTAAGTATTTCGTCACCTGTTTTTTCTACAAGTGTTTTATTTATACCATTTTTCATAGATGTCTTGATAAGGGAAATGAACATTTCCGAAAGCTCGGCTATATAACGAAGAGTTCTCATTTGAGGTCAAAATTTTGGCTGCATCCCCAACATGAAGAAATATTGTGATATTTTTTCTACCTCCAAATTATTTCACCTTAACTGGTCAGTCAGACTACCCTCCTAAAACTATATATATATAGTACATGTAGACTAGATGGAGGATATAAAACATTTTTTCGTATCATATTACATGGAGACTAGTTGAAAAAATAAATATGAATATATACATCGCGGTTAATGTATCTGTATGAGGTTGGGATACAGAGTTCGCTATCATTATTATTATCATTTTTAATGAGGTTCGGACTGTTCCATCAACATTTTTATCAAGTCATCCAAATTATCGCTCGAATTTGATTTTGTTTCAGATGTTTGTATTGTAGCAGATATTGCTTGTTGTAACCAAATCATATTACGTTCAGGACTCGTTTGATAAAATTCAATATCGCTGTGCCCCCAAGGTAAAGTGTTTACTATATTAGGTATAATAAACCGTCATGGTATGAAAGGGCGACTTTGTTTTCCATTTCAGTATGAATATCGTGATGATCACAAGCCACCATTTTCTACGATTTTCTTATAATCATCCATCGATAATTCACTACTCACAACTGCCCTTGAAATCCCCGCTGCTTTCCTCAATTCGGCATTCGAAGATTGAACGTGATATGCTTTGGCGCCCGTCCCATAGAAACTCACAATAGGATCATTTGGAAATTCGTCTTTCATATCACCCACTACTGATTTTGTTATTGGAATAATGAATTTGTCATCCGCGGAATAATTGGATGTGTCAAAATACCTTATATTTTCCTTCATGAAGTGTGAAAGTTTTCTGTTCCTATTTTGAGTATCAATGAATTCGCATCGGTATACAATAGCCACGATTTACCAGAGGAATTCTTCCCAATGCATTCATACAAAAAGTTATATATAACAACGGTTTATCATAATGCACCCTAACTTTAACCATATGGATTGCTACGAAATTTTCATGGAATACTTTACAGGTCTTATAATTGGGTAATGCTATCAATGCATTAGCACCCTCCCTCTTTGTGATACTGTCCCAATGAGTTACGAGTTTGATATCGCTTCTTTTATCAACATTCTTCATGGTTTCGCTATAAACTGAGTTGACCATATTCTTATATAAACTTTTATCAGCTTTATTCGTACTTTTATAACGCATTTCTGTATTGAGGTCAACATACTTTTTTAACCATGGGGATTGCTTTAATTTGAGGAATCTATGGGTTTCAATCAGGGTCAAACCGTTTTCTATAGCCTGTTTGAGATTTCTGTAATGAACAATATATTTTATCTTATTCGACAGATTGGGAATCAGTTTTTTCAGCTTAGATTTCGATCCTGGTGGTGCAATGGATTCCACGAGAAAGGGTAGATCTGAGTGTGCGTCATGTAATTCTTCAGGATAGTATATGTCAACTTCAAGGACATGCCCATATGGGCTATCATCTTCAACACCCATGATATCCAACTCCATAATTTCTTGACTGTTCAACCACCTAAAATCGGATGTTGGTAGCGACTGTGACATACTATGACCGTACAAGTTAGTTGCATCTAAATACATGATGTATGTTGATGGTTCATTTGGATTGAAGTTTTGAAAAAATGTATCATATCGATGTCGATTAACAATTCTCATTCGATTTTAGCATCCCATGATAAACCGGATGCTGTAAAGTATTGGCATGGATCTAACTTGTACGTTTTTGAACAAACATTCCGGAAGTTCTCGAAAACATCGCATGACAATGAAACATCTGATTTCAAATAGAGATCGGAGTGATTGTACCGGTGATTAGAGTGATTTACATTGAAATAAATTCCAATCATGTTCAGCTCTTCGATAATCCTCGTCTGAAATATGTTTATTAGATAAATAATGGAAAAAATCATTTTTAGATGGAAAATCTTTGTTATCCAATTTATCCATAGAGGTTATGCAACTATATGGGAAAACTCCCTTCTGCGTCATATATTTGAATTCTTCAGGGTCACGAAAATATCTAGCAGTTTCTACAAACTGAGATTCATTCAAATTTCCGGCCAAGGATTGCAGAGGTTGGGCAAGGAATTTGTAGCTATCCATGAATCGCAGTTTCAAAGAGACATTCTGATCCACACCGTTTTATCCCAAATATTCGTCAACTAAAATATGTTTGGTAAATGAAATATATTCTTCCTTGGTTTGCGCGATACAGTCAACTCTCTCTTCTTGATCGAATAGTTGCTTGATAAAAAGGTGGCTATCGTGGCCACTCATATTATGAAAAAATATGGGGATGAAATTTGGAATTTTAAAGATCAAATTACATATTGAATGTGCGGCACCGAATCTTTTTTTTGTTTCGTTAGATGGCAGTGGTCTCTCACTTTGACGTTACCATATATGAAAGCTTCATCGCAAATTCCACACCCCGTGACATTAGCGAATTCAACTTCTTCTGCCGGAGTTAATTTTTTCATAGGAACTACACGTTTCAGAAACGAGTTGTAAATTATTTTGCAGTCATTGACTGAATTGGATACGATTTTTTTCGCAGCATCTTTCCCACGGAATGTAATAAATTTCGTAATAGAATTATCGAAAGAGCATTTAATAAGGTATGTAAATAAATAAGGCTCATGTGCGAATGTTCTATTAGTGAAGGATTTCTCCGGATCTGGCTGGCTAGTATGTATCGGCTTCAGAACTGATTCGGAATCTGCATAAATAACGAATGGTACTTTCATCTGTTTCTCAACTTTCTCGAATTTCAAAATGTTGTCAGGTACTGAATTTCAAAATTTATCGACTTTGATCTCTGTGGATGGAGTTAAAGTGTATGTATGGTTGAAATCATTCAGCTGATGACGTAACAACTTTGTTTCATCTGGAAAATGTATCAACCAGCCGTCACAAAAAAATATGCCCCCTGGCAGATATCTGGCTAGATACCAGCCTAGATAAATTCTTTATCCAGCAATAGTGGCTATTTCCGGATTCATCATCTGTGGTCAGAAGTAAATTCACATGTTAACTCATTCTTTGCTAAGAGTAATACAGTGGGCCGACTATCTGATATTGCACTCGATGTTTTTAAACACACTTTCTATCCCGTAAACGTTAATGGAACAATCATCGAGAGTTTCGAATTTCGGGATGCTACTCACTTTAACAGGGAACTCTAAACCCACAAAATTCAAAACCGTAGAATAGTGCGGATATGAAGAGGTTTCGCAAACATTAGCCCTTACCGGATATAGTGCAGACGTCACAGCCCAAGCAAAACAGCACTCATCCTGGTTCACTATGTTCACTACTGCCTTTTTAATCTCTTTGAAGCTAGGTAGCTTCTGTAGGAACATCCACGCAGCGATCTGTATTTGTTGATGTTGATTCCAAGAAACATGATTTTTTGTAAAGCCCAACCTATAACAATTATACCATCAGATGATGATCAGAAGTGTTGAAGAATATATCAAATCATCAGAATCGCGTTCCTCAAATTCAGTTGTTTGATTCAATAGGATTTCCTTGAATGTGTCAACTACGGCCTCCAAATCCAGCGATGAATCCATGATGTGATTTGGTGTCATGAAGGATTTGATATCGTGAAGATTTTCATCGAAAAACGTATTGTAATCCAATACATCAGCTCTGCATTCCAATCTATAGCTTAAAATACGGAATTTGAACGCATTTTCAATCACATATACTCCATTCCTATAATTGACGCAAACGTTTGTTCGATGCTCCAATGTCCTTTTATGAGCGCATGCCTGCAGATTCCCAGGAGTTGTTGCTTGCTAAGTGCCATTTCCCAGTCGTGGCTTCTTCGCGATAGGTGGGCTCAAATTTCCCACACATGCAACTCTTTAATGGCGTCGTAGATTGTCACTACGCGTGAAAGAATTAGACTCACCCTGTACTCAATACACTGTTTTCAATGAAACAAAATTGAGTTCTTACTGCTATAGCTAGTTATACCAAAGTGAAACATTATTAGTGAATGGCAAAAAAAAGTAGCCATGAAAAATTACTGATAATTCTGATAAACTATCACGAGCTACCTAATAAAAAAACCCAGTGATTTAGCAGTACCGATTGATTTTTGGGGGGCCACTTGAGAATAATAATAATAAAAAGAGTACTTGAATATAAAAAGACTTCGTTGCCATCCATTGCAGAATTATATGAGCTTGTATGAGGTACATAAATATAGAGTCACAGAGCACTTTGTAGAGTTCATTCCATGGGGGTACTCGCTATATCATCTGCATTATAGATTTTTCTGATAACATCATTGTATTTGAAGAACAAGTTACCATTCCTGCTCCACACATTCTTCTTATCAAATTTCTGATATGCACTTATCATGAGACTGAGTCTGTATTTTGTTAGGTCCTCTTGAATGGATATGCCAGTTGATTTCAGCGGTTTTCTATTTTTCATAATGGACTCACGGACTGATAAACTGATCAGCCTCACTGAAACAGCAGGGGGACTAGGAGATCCATTATTAATGACGTTTCTGCTAGGGACTCGATGATATTTCACAATATCTGCATCATTGACTGTTTTCATCTTCAACTCCTCATGAAAAAGTTTTAAAACTACATCTCTCAAGCTTTCAGAAACATTTTCCTGAACTCCGAATACTTTGATGTTCTCCAATCTTGACTGCTGTTCAAGATTGTCATTGCTTATCACGAGGATCTTGTTGATGGTTTTCAGTTCTTGGATATCAGACTTCAAGTCTGAAATTTTTTCATCATATTTACGAGATATATTGTTTACAACTTTATCGGCAAAATTCTGCAGGTATTCATCGTTCATGACATTTTTTATTTTGACTTTCTGAATTTGTAAATTGTGAATGTCTATATATACCTATATACTTTGTGATATTCCTGATTCAACTAGTTGTTGATAATACACTATGATGTACACACCAGAATTGTAGTCATCTGATTGGGTATCAAACGTGTGTGATTCAATTGTTCATTCCTGTATTATATTCCTTTGTTCGGGATAAATTTCATTCATGAAATTGAAAAATAATTCCATATACTTTTTGGCTTCATTTTCATTAGTGCCAATTGGATCGAGAAAAGAAAAACTCTTTTGTTCAAAATGTGCAAGAATCAGACAGAAATGATTCAGATTCCTCAAAAAACTATCATTCGATATTGCATATTTCTCGAACTTTTTTTTTAGTGAATTCAAATTATTTGAGAATATGTATGAGGCCATTGTGGTGAAAATAATAACGAAATTAGAACCAGTTTCGATTTGTTACTTGAAGGAAGCCTTGAATCTGATAATAGTGATCAGATACAACTTTTAGACAACCACATTTGACCTCAATAAATCCATCTTCATCTACCAGGCCATCAGGAGATCCTCCTATAAACTAATGTTTCTCGTGGATGATCAAACCTGTTTGTCGACAAATCTTTCTCGTCAATTCTTCGTATTCCAATATAGCTTGTTCCTCATTTTTTTCCATGCCCAGTGTATTCATTAATATTTGGTTCGGGGAACATTATTTTTTTGGCAACTCTAATTTTAGTTTCTTTTGATCTTGCCTTACTGATTTCACCAAAGTGGGATGTGGTGACTCTCTTTCTCCGTTCGTTCTTCCATAAAACTGATGCACTCTGCCCTCTTGTATCAAGTTCGATTTTTTTGATGCATTCTCTATCTAAAATAATTTTGTCTAAATAATCATGAAGAACTGATATTTTATTTTGTGCGTCTCTTAGGGCGGGTTGTAACTCGATAGGTTAAACCTTGGTTATCTTCAACCGATGGTTATCCTCGAATGGGTCGTTGTAGCATGGAATTATTGGAGTTCACCAACTGGTTAACTTCTCATTTTATTACCTATCGTTTTCGGTAGGTCAACTTTGGTTCACCACCAGTTCACTAGAGTTTAAACCACGGAACGACAAATATTTACTTGTTTTGATTTTTTCCACTTGTGTTGATATTATTTCGTTGAGTTTTGTGTTGACCAGAAAATATAATATATTATTATATTAACCTTTATAATAAACGTTGAGAGAGGAGATCTACAAGAATTAGAACTCACAGATGACGAAGATTTTCTGGAATTGGTTGAAGTGGAAATATTTACAAGGGCTCCAAGAAATTTTCGATTGAGGGAAAATTACTTTCTGAAATGGAGTGATGAGAAATTCAGAGAAGACATTTCATTTATTAGTTTTGAGTAAGAATTATTTCACAAGATTAAGATATTTTGCACATGTTTTTTCTTTCTAGAGTTACTGCTGTTACTGCTCAAGAAAAAGTTCTGATCACACTCAGATATCTAGCAACAGGTTCAACCCCACAAGCACTAGGAGACTTCACAGGTAATTTCGGGTAATTTGCAATCCTTCTGAGCTACCTAAATCTCAAGCAGACCTCTGGAAGTATCTTATAATTCTTTTAGGTATTGACAAGTCTACTGCAAGTCGAATCATTCACAAAGTCATTAATAGCATAGCAAGACTTTGTCCTGAGTTCATCAAAATGCCTGAGACCGAACAAGAATTAGAATAGAATAAAATAGAGTAGAATAGAATTTACTCAATATAGGATACATCCTAATATTTACAATTCCAACAACATAACAACACACAGCATAACACTAACAGTTTCTTGATTGAATAATATAGAAAAATAAAAATAATCATAGCAAGTCTCTTTGTCTCAGGTACTCCTCAATACAATTTTAAAAGTTTCTAACAGTCTTACATTCTTTTATACTTTATAAAACATTGAGTTCATACCCCTACTGGTAAGCATTCTGTTTAGATGAAAATCATTACGAGATCTCGTTTGAAAATAACGAACTGGTCTAGGTAATCCGGCAATAAGCCCTTCAATAATTTGAAGATAAAAATTAATGCAAAAGTTGACAGTCTTTCATTTACAGATTGCCATTGTAACGTTTCCAACATGTTACGGATGGAGGTGCGCCTGTTACATTTCAAAATTATTCGCATTCCTCTGTTTTGAAGTTTCTGTAATGATGACCGAGATTTATTATCTAATGAATACAATATTGTAGCGCAGTAATCGAAATGTGGTCGAATAATATTATTGTACACTGTTATTTTAGTTTGGATGGGCAGCACTGATGCTATTCTTGAAAAGAAGAATAGTTTTTTGATATCTTATTTTTTATCATGTTGAAGTATTCTTTAAATGACAGAGTTTCATCTAACATAACACCTAAGTATTCAAAGTTATGTACAATTTCTATTTCTTCGCCTTCGATAACTGAACTAATATTTATCGTATTCATGAGTCTGTGCTTATACGGATTTGTTATGATCATAGCTTATGTTCTTTGAACATTAAGTTTCAATTAAATTCATTTTTAAATAGTTTTCTAATTTTGACAATTCTATATTCATCCTATTCACAATGTGATTTAGTGAATCACCACTAATAGCTAATAGTGTATCATCTGCATACAAGTTCGTGAAATCACAGTTCATGTTACAAGATAAATCATTCAAGTAGAGAATAAATAGGAGTGGGCCTATAATACTTCCCTGGGGTACACCTATATCAACTAGCTTTTTATTTGACAATGCATTATTTATTTTTACAACTTGACTTCTACCTGTTAAGTAGTCATTCAGCCAGTCTAAAACAACTCCCTCAAAGCCATAGTGTCTTAGTTTAGCTTTTAATATAGCCCTATCAATGGTCTCGAATGCTCTTTTCAGATCTATAACCAATGCCACAATATATTCACCTTTATCAATTAGAATAGTCCAGTTTGTTATCGTTAATTGCAGTGCTGTCTCACAGGAGTGTTTGCTGCGGAAGCCAGATTGGTATCCATAAAAGATATCGTGCTCATTTACAAAATTAATGATGTGATTGTATGCAGCAGTTTCTATTATTTTTTCAATTGTGGGCAAAGTGTTGATAGGTCTTAAATCACTAGCACTACTTGTATTTTTCACTTTTGGTATTGGTGTTATCGGAGATGTCTTCAGTTTTTGTGGGAAAATACCACTTTCAAGTGAAGCATTTACCACACGTAGCAAATGAAAACCACAAGTGTGAAAAATATTTTTCAAGATTTTTACGTTCATAACATCATGCACATTCGCATTGTTTTTTATATTTGATATTATGTCTCTCAATTCTTTCAGGCTTATTTTTTTTAAATTAATAAACTTACAATTCATAACTGTATCTGGTGGATTCCATTCAGAAATGTATGGTATAGATTTTTGTATTTCAACTACATTAGAAATAAAATATTCATTAAATAATTGGGCAATTTCATTTTCATTTGAAGAAGGTTCAAGAAGATTTTTATAACATCAGCCGTTTTCCCAGATGTATAGGAGCATTAGATTGCACTCATATAGAAATACAATCTCCTGGAGGTGATAATGCTGAGTCATTCCGAAACAGAAAAAGTTTTTTTTCTCTTAATGTGTGTAAACCAGATCTGATAATACAGGATAAAGTATGTAGATGGCCAGGATCTGTTCATGATTCTACTATTTTTGAAAATTGTAGGCTAAGAGCACGACTAGAAAATGGAGATTTTGGAAATGGAGTTGTGGTTGGTGACAGTGGATATTCTGTTAAATCTTATCTGATAACCCCTTTGATAAATCCCGAATCACCAGTAGAAAGACTTTTCAATGAGAGCCAAATACGAACGCGCAATCCTATTGAAAGATGTTTTGGTTTTCTCAAGAGAAGATTTCCTGTTTTAGCACTAGGTTTTCGTCTGGATGTGAGAAAAGTAGAAGCTGTTGTTGTATCATGTGCTGTACTTCACAACATAGCTTGTGAAAGAAATGAGCCTCAGTTTGATGTAGGTGAAGATATTGCTGCAATGATCCAGGAAGCTAATAATATTGATCTAGTGATGCCAAATATCCCAAGATTCAATATCAACAATTTAGTAAGACATAATTTGATCACTCAGTATTTTCAAGGGCTGTTATGAACCTTATTTGAAAATGAATGTTTTTATATTTACCATTCCTTGACTGTTATATACTGCTTCCCGTAACCTGTAACTATTTGAATGGGGTCAACACTATTTTCAATCCTGATGTCTCAACTGAGTTAGATATTTTCAGAGATAATTATATAATTTTCTGTAAATGAGCATGGAATGAGATATTATTAGTCTATTTCATTTTAAAATAGCAATCTGAAGGATATGGAAATAAAAATGCTTATGAGCAAACTATTTTTATTTTATCAGTCATTCATTTCTCTCACTAATTTCTCTTTTTTCAATTTTTAAATTGACATATTGATAGCATGTTATTCTTGCATCGTCTGAAGTCTTCAATCATGGACTTCTTGCTTGTGTTTCAATTCCACCTGATGTTTTTCCTCATTATGTCTTAACTTTTGTTTGCTCTCATCAGAAAGGTACTGCTGCTGAACTTTGACAAAATCTTGTTTTGATTCAGCCCAATTCGATAATTTTGATTTCAAAGTATTATCTGAAAACAAGAATGGTGTTTGCAATGCTATCAGATATGAATAATGCATTTATATATTTTTAATCTTCACTAGATTGGGGTAGCATTTTACCTCTTTTCCTTACATCCTTCGGATTGTTAACTTTCAATTTGGTGGAGACAGCAGTCCTTAAGTTTTCCACAGAGTTTTTTGACCAATCAACTTGTTCTATAAATATAAAGTTAACACATATTAGTGAATATTTTGTATCCAAATAGATGTGTGTAAATTTACCAAAATTAGAATCATCTGTATTAGTCTCTACTACATCATCTGAAACAAATTTTATATCCTGTCCAGGATTTTCCGAA